CCATGTTACCCAAGGCTCCATACAACCTGGCCTTGAACACTTCCAGGAATGGAGAATTCACAACTTCCTTGGGAACCCATTCCAGTGCCTCACCACTCTTACAGTAAAGAACTTCTTCCTGATATCCAATCTAAACTTCCTCTAAGTTTTAACCCATTACCCCTTGTCCTATCACTACAGTCCCTAATGAAGAGCCCCTTCCCCAGCATCCTTATAGGCCCCCTTCACATACTGGAAGGCTGCTATGAGGTCTCCACGCAGCCTTCTCTTCTCCAGGCTGAACAGCCCCAACTTTCTCAGCCTGTCTTCATACGGGAGGTGCTCCAGTCCCCTGATCATCGTGGCCCTCCTCTGGACTTGTTCCAAAGAGGTATTCCATACTACAGCACGTCATGCCCAGGATGTAACTGGGAGTTACCTGGAAGGGCTAGTTCTCTGAGGGTTGGACTAGGTATCGGTCGGTGCTCGGTCGGGGGGGGCGAGTTATTGGTCAGTGGGTGGAGAGGTGTTGTATTCTCTTCCCTTGTTATTTCCTTTATCATTATTATTATTGGTGGTAGCAGGAGTGATTTGTGTTATACCTTAGTTATTAAACTGTTCTTATCTCAACCCGTGGGAGCTATTCTTTTGATTCTCCTCCCCATCCCTCTGGGAGCAGGGGGAAGAAGGGGGGAGTGAGTGAACGAGCTGCATGGCTGGGTTTAAACCACAACACCTGTAGTTGTAGGTATGGGAAGAAAAGGTGTTGACATTACAAATGAGCTGATCCCTTTCTTTTTCCCTGTCCTTTTTATAGGCATACTTGGTTTAGGTTTTATGTTAGATCTCTGGGAAATGTCTCATAATTTTTGAAATTGAATTACATTGAAAATTGTACATTTTATTTCTCTTAATGAGTTCTTTTTATAGAACTCAGTAGACAGCGGGCTATCGGGCTACCATTGATAACTTCAGTTGGTGCTTTTATTGCCTACTGCTGCCTTCCAGGAGACACTTGATTTGTCTTGCCTCTTCTCATGAATTATTAGCACTGGCTATAGCTACTCAAATCTTTTGATTAGCTAGAGACTTAATAAAGCTGTTTATACCCCATTTTTTATGGGTGACTTCAACTCCAGAAATTGCTTTACTAATTGATTTCAGGATGGATTTGCTGGTGGCTGAGGATTTAATGTCTGCAGTGGCTCTTACAGGACAAATTCTTTCCCATAGTCAGATTGTGCTTGGACTTCACTCTCTTTTTTTTTTAGAAAACAAATATTTTCATTGTTACAATTAATGTTGTTTTTGAGGTGGCAAGGAAAATGGAATGAAGTAATGTATGCAGATATGTTTTTCACTTTAAGAAAGCACCCGGAGTGACAGATGGAATGCAAAATTAATATACCTCTGCCAGATCCCTCGGTGGAAAGAAGAGACTAGCCCATGTAAAATTTTATATGGAAGACTGTATCAGTCCCAGTCTAAAGTCTTCTGGAAGTGGGAAAAGGCCACCTCTGAGAGTTTCTGGTCAATCTGGGAAAACAATTAGAAGAAATAAGAGAATATTAGGGACAAGAGTGAGAGTTGTGGATTATCTGATTCACCCTTTTAGATCCAGAGACTGGGTTTATGTAAAGAATTTTTCAGGAGATCCTTTACAGGAGATGTGGGGCGGACCGTACCAGATATTATTGACCACCTTTACAGCAGTGAAGATAAAGGAACAACCTGCTTGGATACATTATTCAAGAATAAAGAAAGCACCAGAACCAGAGAAGACATGGCAGATCAAACCTTCATCACCCTTACCTAAGAAATTGCATCAGTCATAATTTGGATTTATATGATAACTGGCGTACCAGCATGGGACCAATACTTATACCTGAAATTAATCCAGAATGTTACTAAAGTTGCTAGTTGTAGTGACTGTTGGGTGTGTGCACAGTGGCCTACATCAGGGGAAGATCAGGACCTTCCATTAATAGGCATTCCAATTTCCAACACTATCTCATGGACAAATTTGTGGGTGAACACTAGCAAGCTATGTCCGAAGGAAAGTTTAAGATAGTTAAGTTTAAGATAGTTTGGGATAGTTAATCCTAATCCAAGTGAAGAATATTATACCTGTGTACAAAGATGTATTGCACCAGGAACCAGAGCATGAGATTGTTTGTTTAAATGCCACAGGTGTAAGTCACTATTCAAATTGCAGTCACACTATTAACACAGATGGTATCATGGTTCAGTGGTGGCCTGTTCCTGAAGGGAAAGGATGGTATTGGTTATGTGGAGAAAATGCTTGTAAGACCCTACCCCCAACTGGAAGGATGCATGTACTTCAGGTGCTGTGATACCCAATACTACTATTATTGACATATATCCTTCTGGAACCTGGGTTAGAAGTTTTGCTAAACTGATTAATTGAGGGTTTAACCCTATTGCTGAATGGAACACCGCATTTCACAGTTTTGTGAGATGGCTAATTCCGTCTTTGGGAGTAAGTGAATTAGAGAAGGCAATTGTAAATATCTCAGCAACCATAGAGGAAATAGAAAGGAAAACCGTTGATTCGAAGCAGAACAAGAAGAGATAACTATCCTATGTAAGGTGGTATTACAAAACAGAATGGGTCTAGACATGTTATTGGCTTCACAAGGAGGCGCTTGTTCCATTATCAATGAAAGCTGCTGTTCCTACATAGATCAAACTGGCAGAATTGGAACAGATCTGGAGGAAATTTGGAAAAAAACTAAAATATTTCATGAAATGGCCAAGGATGATACCCCCTGGGAGTTTGAAGAAATATGGAAAAAGTTAACTTCGTGGTTACCTAGTCTCTCCTGGTTAAGGCAACTGGTTGCAGGAATATTAATTGTTTCAATATTACTTGTGGTATGATACAAAGTTCCTTCTGGTATTGTAAATGATCTATGATAAATTATGAAAATTGGAAAAGAAATGAAACCAAGAATCAAGTAGAAACAGGAAATTATTTCAAAAAGACTCTAGATGGTAATGGTAGTATATAAAATGTTGCAAAAGAATTTGCAAAAGGACAGAAAAAGAGGGGATTTGAGACAAGGAGGCACAAAAGCACAAAATGTAATCAGTTCTAAGTAATGTTAAGTTTGATGGCTTTGTAATGGAAAATAACTGCCATGCTTGAAGGTAGTTGACATAGTTTTAGGTCCTTAGGACCTTAGTACAAAAAGTGTAAGAAAAGCAGAATAGAGAAACAGGACCTGGGGATGGAGAATATCCTGGACTAGCAGATGTCCAGGATGGGCGCAGTTAAACTGGTAAGTAGAAGGACAGGATAACTGCTATGTCTGTAATGTTAATTAACCTGGTGCTTCAAAGACTGCCAGAAGTTATGAAGGTTGTTGGGAGATGTGAACGACACTCAAAGACCACCATCATATTTTTGTATGCATGCGGGAAAATTTCTGGAAAACTATGTAATTCATGTGTAGCCTCATGAATCTGTAGGTATGCCCAGTGACTATATAAGGATGGCGTGTGTAGCAATACGGTGATACATATTAGGAGGAGCTATACCCCATGTATCCCGGTGCTGCAATAAAGAATACCTGCTTGTCAACTTGAAACTCTGCTGGACAGTTTGTTCCTGGAGTTTTCTCAGGATCACTAGGGGACTGTCAGCTGCTGGTGCTGCTAGTCTTTTGGTTATGAAAGTGCAAAACAATCCCATGAGGAGCCCAGGCCCACCTTTTTTGAAAGGCCCAAGTGATGCATTAGACCTGGGTTCTAACATCATATGAATCTGCAAAACTGCCCTACATCAAAGGCAGAAAGGAAAGCATTGGGTCTGAAAGTTTGCGTAGTCTCCTTAGATTTTAAGTCTTCGAGTCCTTTGGATCTGTGATTTTAAAGTGATCATGTGAAATGACTTTAAAAAGAGGAAGGTTCTCTGTCAAGCTTGTTTTCCAGAGGTTTTAGGAAACGTTTCCAAGAAAAATCCTCTGCAGGGCAATTGGCCCTTCCCTGTTGTAAGGGCTTGGGGGAGGCATAAAGTGGCCTCATGTTATGCCTGTTAGGAGCCTCAAGCGAGTTAGGCCTCTCACACGTTATGCCTGTTAGGAGCTAATGTCTGGAAAGAACATTGGCAAGAATGATAGAATAGTTAGGGTTGGAAAGGACCTTAAAATCATCTAGGTCCAACTCCCCTGCTATGGGCAGGGACACCTCACACTAAACCATGTCACCCAAGGCTCTGTCCAACCTGACCTTAAACACCGCCAGGGATGGAGCATTCACAGCTTCCTTGGGCAACCCATTGCAGTGCCTCACCACACTCACAGGAAAGAATTAACTCCTTATATCCAATCTAAACTTCCCCTGTTTAAGTCTGAACCTATTACCCTTTGTCCTATCACTGCAGTCCCTAATGAAGAGTCCCTCCCCAGCATCCCTATAGGCCCCCTTCAGATACTGGAAGGCTGCTATGAGGTGTCCACGTAGCCTTCTCTTCTCCAGGCTGAACAGCCCCAACTTTCTCAACCTATCTTCATACAGGTGAGACACTGACGAACCATGTGATGATCCCAGTCTGCCACCCAAGAGACATCAAGGGGACCTTTCAACTTATTTGCTGCTCATTGTTTAATGCAAGGGAACTGCTTCCCTAGGAAGGGAAGAGAAAGAGCTGAGTAACTGCCATCAGCAGTAAATGCTAATCTCATTCTTTACATTGAGTTTTCCTATATCCCTCTGAATGCATGTAGGGATTTAGACCTGCTATCCTGTATTCAGCAGGAAAGAGAACTTCTATTTGTAAGGCAGAAATTTATACAAAGAAAAATGTTTGATCAGTGCAAGCTAGTCACTTTCCTAGTCTGATTAAAACATATATATTTATACCGTCATTTTCTTGGCACTCAACAAGGAGCCAGGAGATGGCACCAAAAATAGTACTCATTCTGTAAGAATATTTATCTGTGTATGTTGTAGCTGTTAAGAGGGATTAAAAGGGTTAGACATTTATGGGACATGAGAAAGGAAGAGATCAGTCTGTTTATTCCACTTTCAAAGGTGCATGTTCTTAATTTGAAGGGTAGCTCTTGACATAGTTCTTACATTATTTATTATTATTAGATAGCAATGCTTTCTCAGCATATTTATTTTGTTAAATTACATATATGAAATTAAATACAGCCTCTTGTTGGCTTTAATGTTCTTCTACCTATCCTTATAATTATTATTGATAAGAAGTGACTTTCAAGTTAACAGCATGTGGATTGATAAGGCAGCTATTATTATGTTACAAGAGTGCATTTGGGAAAGCTTAGCTGAGGGGTAAATTGTGTTTCCTCCAGGCTGTGGGATGCTGAATCCCCAGCCTGCAGACTGCTGCCAAAGATGCTGTTTGTGGCTGTGGTATGCCTGGCTAGCATTTGAAAAGCTACCACAAAACTATGCAGTTGTGTATATCTGAAATCAGTAAGCGTGGTGGATTTTGGGAGTACACAGGGGAGTCCCTCCTGTGTTTATTTTTGAGTTGTTGGAGGGCTTCTGCTCCTTTCGTTTCTGCTCTTCTCTCTTGCTCTCTGAGGCTCTTCTCTTCATTCTCAGGTAGTAGATCCGGTTGGCTTCTGGGTAGGTGACTTTGCAGAGGGGGATTTTGTAGATGGCTGGGTTGTCTGAGCTTATCAGCAAAAAGAGGAGTGCGGAGAAGCAAAAAGGCCACGTGCAGAGGGGCAGCCCAACCTGAGGGGAAAGGACAGACATATAGGTGCATTTTGGTACCTCAGTTTGCCTGTTCCCTTTGCTTACTTCCATCTGTTGCTAAATTCTTGAATTTGGGAAGCAGAGAGAACCTGTGCTTTCCCTGGGGACAGTGTGACATAGGACATGTCCTCCTGAACCCTTCCATATATGATCCTCCATTTGGATCCAGAGGAGGATGCCCAGGTTGGGTGGCTCCATGGGAGGAGTACATGTGAGCTTGGTTCCTGTGGTCACTGGAGGTCTGGGAAGCTCCTCTGCTACCAAACATCAGCTCACCAGAGGTATTCAGTTTATCTGAAATGGATGGGACTACATAAAACATCCCACATTGGAGACTTCAGTCCTTTTGGGGATGCAGCTGTTGGTGCTAAATGGCACTTGGTACCAATATTGAAGCAGCTGAAGCAGGCTCCAGAGATTCACTGGCTGTAATGAAAGCCAAGACATCCAGCTTACTCGTAAACATCTATATTCTCTAATAAATCAGCCAAACCCTACCCTCCCTTGTCATGTAAAACGTCATCTACTGAGTACCATTCACACATATTCCCCATCACCAATGCCCATGTGTTACTGGCATTGCATCTAACCCTCAGTCCTGCTTTGTGACCCCATTTCTTGACCTGACTTGGGGTCTGCCAAAAACAAGATCACAAGGAGAAAAAGTAGATGTCTTTTTTTAATGCGGCATCTAAAAAGCAAGTATGATGAACAAAGCAACCCATCTGAAGGGACCTACATGGTGCTGGGTGTATGCCAGATGAATACATTTAATATATGAAGCTTCTAGTTCTGACTTTTCCTTTAAGTTACTAAATCAGTTTTATTAAAATATGGTTTTGCTTTAATCTCTCAGATCTTAAGAAACAAATCTTGGCATATCTGCTTCACCTACTTCTTGATCTATCCAGGTCTGCTCAGTCCCCCCCTCATTTTAGTTCTCATATCCAGATCAAACTTAAACAATATCTATGGGTAGGATGGGAGAAAGACCTTGGAAGAAGCAAATAAAAATTTAGACCATTGAAATGTCTCCAAAAATACTGCTTGCAGCTAAGTACGGCATCTCAAACTATACGCTGCTACTGGAATTCACATAGACATGCACAATCCAACTGTGGATAATAGGCTCCAAGGGTCTTCAAAATCTTAATAAGAGCTTTAGAGTCTGAAATGCACCATTCAACTGACACAGAATTTGTACAAGACCTGACACTGTCTGTAGCATTCTCATGTCAATGCTGTCAAAACTGACATTGAGCATTCTGGGGCATTTCCTTAATATTATATCATAACAAGTCAGAAAACCATTAAAACAAACAAAGAAAAGAGCCCAAAACACCTCCCTCAAACTTACCACAGATAAGGCATTAGCAAGAGCTGCTCCAGAGTACGCAGTAAATAATGCTGAGAAAAGAAACCCAGACAACTCAGGTGAGGAAAATACTGTTCACCTCTCTGAAGTAATGAGAAATAGTAATATTGTACAAATGCACAGTAAAATATCCTCCCAAATACCTGATGTGATGGTTAAAGTTAGAATTCATCAACTAGTTCATATGCCTCAGTGCTGCACCTGGCTCTATGGACTACATTTGATCCTATGTGCTCTGTAGAGATGGGCGATGAACGAAGAAGATGGTTTTGTTGAGAGCAGGTGATGATGGCATTTCTTTTATCTTTAATTTCTTTTTTGCCTTTCACATAACAGTGCTTCCACTCTTTCTAGAATTTCTGTATGTTATGAGGGCCTAAAAACCCTTCTCTCTGCACTTTTAGCTTGCACACCCTAGCTGATGCCATCACAGAAATAGCTCTTGCATAGTACCTAGTATTGCAGCAGTGACAGTTGACTTTAAACCTCCATTACTCATAGTCTGTCTGGCTGCGTAAATTTATGTCTTCTCTTTATGTACAAGATACATACCACAGGCAAGTGACAGCAAATGAGTCTGCCAGGTCAGGGCATAGAACATGCCCCCAATTGCAATGCAGGCGAGTGCACAGTTGTAATTGTGTAAGCCAAGGTAGATGCTGTCAAATGGTGATGCAATGCTCAGAGCTGCAAGACAAAAGGCAAGGCTGTGAGGTCAGGTATGAGAGATATCTGCAGGAGGACCCGTCACTTGCTGGGAATCTGTCATCTCTTCTCTGTGACATCTAAACAAATATAACTACTCACACTCATATAACATGCACATGCAGAAAAAGCATGGAATCAAATGAAGATTGTTATTTTAGAGCTCTGATACTCACAGACTTATATAATCATGGAATGGTTTGGGTTGAAGGGACCTTAAAGCTCATCCACTTCCAGCCCCCTGCCATGGGCAGGGACACCTTTCACTACAGCAGGTTGCTCCAAGTCCCGTCCAGCCTGGCCTTGAACACTGGCAGGGATGTGGCAGCCACAGCTTCTCAGGGCAACCTGTGCCAACACCTCACCACCATCACAGGGAAGAGCTTCTGCCTGAGAACTCATCTCAATCTCCCCTCTGGCAGGTTAAAGCCATTCCCCTTTTCCTGTCCCTACAGGTCCTTGTCCAAAGCCCCTCTCCAGGTTTCTTGTAGCTGCTTTAGGCACTGGAGCTGCTCTAAGGTCTCCCCTTAAGGAGCATTCTCTTCTCCCTGCTGAACCAGCCCAGCTCTCTCAGCCTGTCTCCAGAGCAGAGGTACTCCAGCTCTCACAGCATTGTAATGTCCCTTGGGTTGGAATTTGGCCTAGTCTCAAAGGTTTCTTTCAGGCAAAACTTTCTGCATATGCACTGAGTGTGTTGTATTTAGTTCCCACAGGTGGAGAATCCAGCCAGAGTGCAGAAGGACCTTCCCACTTGGCTGTCCTTCTTCAGAAATCTGTGCTTTCTGTACTGTTTAAACCTCAAACCTGACCTTGAATATCAGAGGCACAGCTGAGCGTCTTTCTTTTGTGGGGATGAGCAGAGTTTTCAATCTCTTCCCAGTGATCTTTGCTAGAGGTGGCATTGTCACTACATCAGTGCTGTGGAAATCCTCCACTGGGATGGGAGCTGAGGGTCTGCTCCAAATCTGACCTCACAGGTACTTCTGCAGGATTTTTCATAGGCTTCAAGAATTGCAGAGAGCACAATATGTAGTGCACATGATACCTTTAAGTTACTCTGAAGATTAATATGTTTCCTGCTATATGGCTCTCATTTGTCCCCTGTTCTATCACTACGCTTATCCCCAGACACTTTCCCCAACCTTTCTCTTCTATATTAAATGTCAGACCTTTACAAAACTTGCCAAATGATCTTAACTATACAAATTGTGGAGAGTTTTGTTTAAAAACACAAACATAAGGCAGCTCCCATTTTGTACAATGTGCTTCAGAGCACAGAGGACTTACAGTTGGATGACTGTGACTTTTCCAAGGTTGTTGTCTCCGACTACACTTATTCCATTATATTTTTTTATTACAATTAGTCACATAAGTGTCATTAATCTTGCCTAATTTCATCTCTCTTTAGATTGTTTCCCTGGTTAGTGGGAGACAGGCCATTTTCAGTGGCATTCATTTAGCTGTTTTTACTAACCTGCAGCAGGATGGAATGAACTACATTGTAGAAAAGTGGCTTTCTTTTAATAGACTGATCAGCTCTGAGGCAGACATCTGCTTTAAAACATTTGTGACGGCAAGAGATCAGTTCTGAAACTACTTCTCTAGGTTTCTTTATCAACATCTCCATGGTATTCACAACATCTGATGGCAGGAGGGTTAAGCAAGGTGGAATTAACCAGCCACCTGCCTGAGTTACAAATCTAAAAGCAAATTCAAAGATTAAAGAAAATCTATTCTTGCCTTCATCATGTGGTGTGACCTCAGTAAGATCTTCTGTATTTAAAGACAGTTTCAAAAATGAGACTGCTGTCCCAAGTGCATCCAAGCCCATGCAACTGTAAAGTCTGGAAAGAGTCATATAACGGCTTGGGTGAAGATACCTTGGGTACAAAAATTACTCTGGTAAATTTTCTTACCTGCAAACATCCCCACTGTTGATCCAATTGCAGCATGTAAACAAATAAGTGGGGAGGAGATGAGCAAAGCAACAAGGAAAATGCCTCCAGTCCAGGGGTTGTCACAACCATACACTTGACCGATGCCAACTGGGATGGATTGTAAGAGCTGCAGCAGTCAGTAGGAAAGGGCATGTTATTGTATCTATCTCTGTGAAGGACACAGCAGTTATTTTGATCAAGCTATTGACTGAAAAGTAAATGAAGGAAGGGAAGGGAAGGGACAGGGAGAAGAGGGGAGGGGAGGGGGGGATGGGAGAGTAAGGGAGAGGAGAGAAGGCAAGGTAAGGCAAGGGACAGGAAGGGACGGTAAGGGAAGGGACTGGATGGGAAGGGACAGGAAGGCAAGGCAAGGCAAGGCAAGGCAAGGCCCCTGGCTCTGAACTGGGCTGCTGAGTGATTGTGGGCACTCATGCCCTTCAAACCAGAGTTAGTTCACTTATAAGTCCAAGATGGACTTATATTTCCTTTGGGATGGTAACATGGTAGATGTGGTGATGGTAGGTTTTGGCTGACTTTAATGAGGGACAAAACCAGTAACCTTCCCAGGAAGTAATGCTATGGTGGACCTAGTTGACATGAGTTTATTATATATAATAAGAAGCATTATCAGTTACCCTTATGCTGCTTTGGAAAGGTGATCCTCCAGAACTAGAACTAGACCTGAGGGGTCTGGGTATAAAAGAATCCTGTCCCTTTGGGATCCTGATTTTCCTTCTGTCTTTCCATATTGCCACTGACTGCCTCGCTGATGTTGTTTTAACCACATCTGGACAGTGGGAGTGAACATCCAGATGTGCTTCAGTAATGACAGCTTTTGAGGCTTGTTTCGGGACAGTCCAGCTTTAGGTGGAGTGAGAGGCTCAGGATCTCTGTTCCTTGGCTTCCAGCATACTTTCTGCTGGATCAGCCAGGACAATCTCTGGGGCTTTTATGGGACAGTCCTCTATGCACTAAACTGGGTAATGTATTTCTGTGAATTATTAGTGGCTGCACATAGCCATTCTGACCCATGTGAAATTGTTATCCAGAGCTGAATGCCATCATCTTTTGATGAAATACTATAACCGTGTTGGAGTGAAGCTTACCAATGGCACATTGATTGCAGACCAGGTGATGTTGGGCACTGATGCTACAGGCTTGATGAGGGTTGTAGGGAAGAAGGGGTTGTAGTGTCCTGTGGCTGCCAAGTACAAAGTCACCGCAATATTGAAGGGCAGAGTGAAAACAGGAAGGTCCCATTTACTGAAGATGGATCCCAAAGCACTGGACAGGATTGGACTGAGAACAGGAGAAGATACACAAGTATAACTTGCTCACTGACATAGTGCTGAAACAGCCTACCTCTTTAGGCATAAGTCCTGGTAAATGCAAGCCAAAGCCATTTCTTTTAGAAACATTGTATTAGTATGCATCAAGCAATTAGCCATAGAATGCTGTACATCTTTTTGCAACAACTATCACATCTATTCATGGACGGTACAAACTCTACGCCCTCCCCTCAGGACCTGTGGTTAGTGTGCAGCTCAAGATGTCAGTGAAGAAATGCATCCAGTACAGTATTTTAGAAGTTTGTCTTCCTATTCAGTAAAAAAATCTAACAAGAAACAGAATAGAAAATTTTGGGAATGCCTTGATTGATGCTTATGTCAATGAGACTGATGTTACTGTGTGCTGCTCAGGCACCATTTAAAATCATATAGTATTTTCTGAAAACTGCTTAGTTCTTAAGAAACGTGACACAGTATTTTCCAGCATGTACAGTGTTTGGGGTCACCCTCAAAACATTTAGATACTGAGTGCTAAAAACCATGAAAACTTTGAGATACCATGACTCTTCCAAATGTTCTTGGCTGTAGAGCCTGGAATTTAAACTTGACCAGATCTGCATTTCAAGTGGAAATAAGTCAGTCCAAACGGCCTTATTTCTGCTTGAAGTACATGTCCTGCATTAATGACTCTGTGGGAGCATATTGGCAAGATAACAACTGTTTTTTAAGGGGCCTGAAAAGCTTGTGAAAGCAAGTGAATGGCCAGGTCCTATCCTTGATGGAAATGGCCTGTGTTTTGCAGCTTCCAGCTAAGATTTTCTGATGCAGATGAGCTGAATAGCTCTTATGGTCAAACTCCAAGTAGCAGCAAACATCACCCAGTTTATAAAAAATCCAATTTAAAGATATGAATTATTTAAGACACTGCATTTGACTCCTAGAAGAACATTCATGTCCATTAAGCTGGTTCTAATAAAAAAACCCACCCAAACTATTTGGCATTTCAAAAGCAACATTTTGTGTCGTATTGTGTAGATACTATCAGTAGAGGAAATGCCTTGCTCTTCCTGTATAATCTCAGATGAAACCTATTCTTTTGTGAAAATTTGAGCAGTTTACAGATTTCCTTGTTCTTACATGTAGCAAAAGAAAAAAACCAAACAACTTAGCACTTCAGTGAAAACAGTGCATCCTAATTTTTGTGCTGAAATACAAAGCTTCTGCCAGTTATAAATCTTCTCGGAATAAAAAGAAACAGTTAAGGAACTGCTGATTTGTAAAGCTGAAATCCAAAGCATGTATTGAAAAAAATCACTGAAATGTCCAATTTTAAATTCTTTCAGCTTGGGTCTTGTGAACTTAAAGAATGAAGGAAAGTTTGAACAAGAAGCCTGAAGGAATTCTGGCAGGCAAGACAAACTAAACATTTTTGCAACACTTCCTGGGTCATGAGAGGTTGTTATAAAATGACCTTTGCTGGGAGTGACTTACAGACGTAAAATATGAACAAAATTTGATCTTAGAGCAGTGAAATGCAATAATGACTTGCATCTTATTGCTGACAATGATTAAAATACAGCTCTTGAAATAATCTTAGTTAAGGCTGTTAAACAGATTCTGCAGTGCTGTTAGGGTCCATATTTAAAAATGGTAAATTAAATCCTGAAAGGACTTTGTCTGGCATTACGAGTTACTTGGAGGAATGAATTTTTGCTCATGTCTGATTGCATATCTAAGAGGGGGAATATTGTATTCAGCCCAAGGGAGAGCACTGGATTGGTTCAGCTTCTGGATGAGGAAGAACTGTTGTGATGTTGGACACTATGACATCCACCCAGAAACTGTGGTGATCAAAGCTATTTGCGGACCTGCTCTGTCTGTGTGCTTTAATCACTGCTGTCTGTGCACTCAACCTCCTGCCAACACAATTTGTATCAGTGAATGCCTCTTTCTAATGCTACCATGATTGGAGATGCTGATGTAGGGGACTTCCGATGTGTTTAAGCTGTATATAGCAAGACTCCTCATTCCCTGAGAATTGTCCTTAGGAGGAGAAGTGGCACTTACCAGGCCATTGATATAACTGTCACAGGAGGAAGAAGCCACCAGTAGTAATCTCCTTTGTCAGAGAAGACAGCCATGAGCAGTCCCACCAAGATCCCATTGTAGCCATGCAGTCCAGCTGCAATGGCTGATCTGTGATGAAAAGAAATGTTTGCAAGGTCACAAGCTGTGCAGTCATGTGTGGCCCATCACAGGGACCCACTGAAAAGCAGTTTGTAAGTATCCTGCTCCCAGTGAAAGGGCTGTTGGGGAGGGACAAAAAAGCAGTAAGGTTGGTGCCATATTGCAGTGCCCTGCTGTGTGGAGGGGAAGAGCTTGGAAACTGTTCAGTGATGGTGGTCTAGGGGGCTCCATGTGATACATGGTTGTGACAGTAGTTATCAGAAAGAGATAGCTCTCACAAAGGCAGCCAGTTATGGGGACAGGCCAGCTCTTCCTACACCACAGCTCTGTCCTTACATAACTGCTTCTATAAGGAAAGCCAGTCTGCTGTCTCTAGTGTACTCAAGTGTGGGATTATGACACATCAGTGGGTTTCTGATACCATAATGACCAATTTTTATCAAGTGTCCTTACATGAGGTACCACCTACCTGTCCTGACTGAGGACCAGCGCAGTCAGAGTCGACACAGTTGTGCCAGTACAGCCTGTGAGCATCCACCAAGGTCTCTGGATGAAAAGCCCCACTAAAATGATCAGCCCACTGAGAGGGTTGTTGACAAACATCACCTGAGAGGTCCCTCGCAAGATCCAGTCCACCAGCTGAACCATCAGGGGCTTATCTGGAGGAGATCAAATAAAGACACTGATGACAAAGCACTATTTCACCAAAGCACATCTCTACCGTCACTTTGTGGCCACAGAACAGAGGTGATGTACCAACAGGACTGTAAAAATGGTCTCTGATTTATTTCTCTCTGAGCATATTTTGCACCTAGCACTTAAAAATTTAATAAGGAAGGACTGGGCACTGCTATAAAGTTTATGGAGGGTTGATAAAAGTGTGGCTTATTTACGGTGGTGAAAGAATAGTCTTACTTGCATGGTAGATCACTAAATATACTGCTATAAATTTAATGAGGAGATAGGCACTTTTTGGTGTATAATTCAAGCGCAGAGAGGGACTTAGGCACAGACTGAAACTAGTTTGTACATAGATAGGGAAATATTGAAAGGAAACAATTTGGTGTTTCAGGGAAAATCAGCAACCCAGAACATAGAGATATACTGTATATAGGAGATCAGGTGAAACCATCAGACGTGTCTAAAATGTAACCAAAGAACCTAAATTAAGGGATTAGTTATTATAGCTTGGACTGTAATCAAGGTAAAGAGATGTTTCAAAATGGAAAAAAGCTATTGATCTTTAGACAATACTATTGAACACAGTCAGAGCAAATGGGCACCAAGCTTGGGTACCTCATGTGAGTGCAGGGGGAGAAAGGATACGCATGGGCTGAGGGCAGCCTGTCTGAGGGCATTTATGTACAGTGCTCCTAATGACATTTGTGGGCAGAGGAGGGTCTTGTAGCACTGGAATAACTTTTGCTGCTGGCTCTTGTAGTGCAAATTGACTTGAGGTCTTTTTCTGGCCTGCTCCTGGGAAAGGTGTAACCATTTTTGTGCTGCTTTGCATTATAGAGAATGCACAAGAAAGAGGAGCTGCTTGCATGTACAAAATGTTAATGCAATGTGTATATATGCAGCTTACATCTTAAATATTTTAAATTAATTCTAGTAATTTAGATTGTTAATTAGACACAGCATAAAGTGCCAGACTACTTTTTGAATCTGGGCGATGATTATTCCTAAAGTCTTCCCTCTCCCCCTCTCCTTTCTATTCTATTTCCTTGTCTTGTATTTACAGTCAAGGCTTAAGTTTTGCTTTATGATGAGGGTGGCTTAAATTGAGGATCTCTGAAGGGCAGGTATCATTCAGCATCTCTTCAGCATCCCTGGAAAAGCCTTCCCAAGAGGCTGGAGAGGAAGTTGAGGGATAGCTTCACAAGCATCCCTCAGGCTGTGTGCTGTTGGAAAGCCAACTGGGGAGGAATGAGTTCCTTAGATAAAAATGATCAGGATTGTGTAAAATAATTTTCACTAATATTTTTTGTTTAGCTATGAAATATATCAGCAATGTGGCTGGTTTTAGAAACAAGTATTTATTGTAAACATTCAAACAGAACCAGAGGGCAGTGGCCTGAGGTTTTCAGATCATTGAGTAGGAAAAGCTTTTCTACAAAGCGTGGACCACTGGAGAAACGAAAAAGCAGTTGGAGATGCTTCCATGTGGCTGGGGATCACACTGCCAGCCTGATGAGCTCCTGAAGAGTCTTGAGGCATCTTAGCCCACCTCCTCCAGCAACGACAGCCACTGCACAGCTTGTCTGTATGTGGCTGTCTCTTATTTCTCTCCCATTGCTGGAGTTGTACCGCTAACAAATCCAGCCTTGACAGAGGACCCACAGACTGACATAGTCTCTCAAAGCCCCGCATTCCTAATAATCCTGGGTAACGCGGACCATCTGCTCATGTGCTGTTCCTGTCTGGCCAGTAAACCTTTGGGATCAGTACTTGCTTTGTATTTTAATAGCATTGTAACACCCACAGTGCTTATTGCTCCCCCAAGGCTGATAATACAAGAGCCTTTACCCACACAATCCACAGGCACATCCCCATCTTCAGCCCACACTTGGTACAAGGACACAGCTGCTGATCCAAAGCACTTACAAACAAGACTATATCCCCAGTCCTGATGTGTGATTCCAGGCACTGCTATAAGGAATGTGATACTAATGACAGAGAACTGATAAAATGTAAAAGACATCTTTTGCCTATGCTGAATTATGCATGCAGACATGGTAATGGCTTAGAGGATGCAGTGAGATTCTCTTCCCATGAAATGATTTGGGTTAAAAGGCCAAAAGTTTGCAGTGAGCTCAGACCATGCTGACTCTGCTTTGCCTCAGGGGGATGAAGCAGCCCCTCATCTGGTGCTCCAGCAACTAGCTGTTACCAGCTAGATCTTCCCAGCCAGAGAACCCCAGTCACATCCCTGTACTTACTTTTCATCCACTCTCCACACTCCTTCATTTCTCCTGTGAGATACCCAAAAACTTGGTAGAGCCAATTTCCGCTTCTCCCCAGCAGGTCCTTGGTGTTTGACTTCTGCTCTGTGTAACGCTGTTTCTCACCGGGATGTTCTGCCACAACAACCTCACCAAGTTCCATCTCTGTTGGGTGGTGTTAAGAGGTAACTGTAAATCACAAAGCTCACGTGTTAGAAAAACCTTTTGGCAACTCTCTGCTGTACTTTAGAGCCCCACAGTGATGTAGTTTTCAAAGTTATTTAAAGGTTTTTTTCATGGAGAAGGGACCTGCCTGAACTACTGTTGAGGGTGGTGTGTGCTGCTGCCCAGGGCACTGTTGTGTCTTCTTGTGGATGAGGACCAAGCAATAACCCATTGTTGCCATGGAGCTGTGGCACAGAGCTTCAGGGTTAAGAAGAATGTGGCATAGGTGCCCTGCAGCCCCCATTCTCACTCCAGCTCCTGATGCAGTCTGTGACAAGCTGCTAATTGGATGGGAGATATAGCATTTACCAACTGAGTGGTACCTACATACTGACCAGTGCTGCTTAGCCAAGGATAACTGGTGTTGGCAGCTACTGAGGGGAGATCCTGCTGATGTTTGGCTAGCAGAGAGCTGGAGGGAAGCAATGTAGATTGCCGGTACAGTAGCAGACAGCAGGAGACAAGAAAATACTAGAGGAGAGGCTGAAGCTGTATCCCTTTGACATTTTGAGCTGGTGCCTTCATATAGCACAGCAAATCTTTGGCTTTTCCATGCTCATCATTCCACATCTGCTTTTCATAGACAGTCTCAGCAAACTCACATAAGATCAGCATTCACATGTGACTTTAGACAAAGATAAGCACCTTGGCTTAGTGCTGTGTTCTTTAGTTAGTAGGTGAATATCCAGCAGAAGTATGGGTTTATTAACCTCCCAATTACAATTGCAGGGCTCTGTCCGTTAAGATATAAACCCTTAAGAGAAAACACACCACACTGCATGCTGGTGAGCTACACTGTGGGTACACCTGCAATAATGTCACCCTGCTCTCTGAGGGAGTCTGGCATCAGCAGCTCTGCTGCTTTGCTCCAAGGATTTTGGGGAAGTGTGACTGCGTTTCTGGGTGTTGCCCAAAAGCAGAGTGTGTTGTGAAGGGCTTGTCTGGTGTTTCGTGGAATACGGGCACCACCTTATGGTGGAATACGGTGGGAGCTTGCTTTTCGGTAGCTCAAAGAGGCTGGTTCTCGGTGTTAGAGCCTGTAACAGCAGCAGGACAAGGTGGGAAGGGATGCCTGGCTGGTGGGAAGGCTGTTTTGCAGAAAGGAACACTGACAGGAGGACGGTAAAAATACGCGTGGCTGTGAAAGCCCTAATAACAAGGTCCTTGAGCAGCAAAGGATATTTTCCTTTCACCCCAGGCAGCACAACGCTGAGTGCAGCCCTGCAAATACATTGCACAGCGCTTGCCTAGTGCTTGGGCTCTCTCTGCTGGCAGCTTGCCCCTACCGCAGCAAGAGTCTTTGAGATGACCTTGGCGTACCAGCATCAGCCTGCAGCTGGACACACTGAAGAGTGATGTTGTTAAGTAGAACTGTAAAACCTAAACCCAAGCTTGCTTAATCCTAAGAGGAAGGAGGGTTATAGAAGGTATTGCATGGTCTAAAGCAGACAATGTGATTGTGCAAGGACTAGGCACCCCCAAAACCTTGCTCGTGAGTGTGTCATGGGGCTTAGAAAGGAGGCTTCCAGGTTGCTGCACTCAGTGCAGGAACAAGCAAGGAACAAAAAAAGAAGGGTGTGTGTGTGTGTTGTGCCTCTTCTTTTGCTGTCTGTCATCTGTTTCTGGCTAGAAGCTAAGTCCAACCCCTGGTTTCAGTTCAAGGCAGCTTTAGTGACTCTAGTTCTTTATGGCTGGTTTAGGTACACTGAACAGAAGTCCCTTTTTTCCTCCCATGTGTCCTCTAGGATGGGGAAATTCTCAGTGGTCCGGTAGTGGGAATTTTCTCTGAAGTAAGAAGAGGCCAGCTTCTGCTGGAAAACCAGGTATTTGAGTATGGATCTACCCCATAAGCTGTGTAAGATGTATTGTTGCTCTGGGCTTCCTGGTAGTCAGTGTAGCTCTGGCCACCTTCAGATGGAAGTCTTAGCTCAGAACTACCTTCTGAAAGTTCCTGTTCTTCCCATTGACAGCTCAACATGCTGTTCCAAAAATCCAGTATTTTCTAGGAGGGACACATCAACAGCACAAGCAGAGATTCCAGAGCACGCCAGCCTAGCACCTGGCTGACACAGAGGTTGCTTTGCCTCCAGAGCTTATTTAGTGAGGGGGGTTAGTATCAGAGATAGCTGCTTAATGATGCACATTTTGTTTGTTTGCTCCTGTCCCTTCCAAAAGACTTCTCCAAAGAGTTTCAAGGGACTGTATTGATAGGACAACCAGTGATGGGCTCAAACTGAAACAGGGGAAGTTCAGGTTAGATATAAGGAAGAAGTTCTTCCCTGTGAGGGTGGTGAGGCGCTGGCACAGATTGCTCAGAGAAACTGTGGCTGCCCCATCCCTGGCAGTGTTCAAGGCCAGGTTGGACAGAGCCTTGGGTGACATGATCTAGTGTGAGGTGTCCCTGCCCATGGCAAGGGGGTTGTAACTGGATGATCTTAAGGTCCTTTCTAGCTGTAACTATTCTATGGTTCTATGAGCAGGCCTCAGATAGCTGTGCTGAATCCACATGAAGTAGACAGGAGCACCTCTTAGGATCCTCACATCCCAGGGACACATCAGTAAAGTTAGTGGCCCCTTTGTTGTCCACAGTGGCTACCACCAGAATACAGCTGCTACCAGCAGGGAGAATAAATACAGAATGGCTGGTTTTATGTCTTCACAGTGCTTGAAAAGATCACTCTCATTTCAAGCCTCACCATGAGAAATTACTGTTGGCTTTTACAAAGAAGAAACATCACTGCAGAGCTTCTGAAGCCTGCTTTTAAAAGGCTGCGCTGCTCAATTCCTTCTGAAATAGAAATGTGGGACCTGTATATCTGTAAAATTCTTGTCCTTGCTCACAGAATTTAACCCTTAGGTTTTAAGTGCAAAGTACTCATGTAAGAACACTGCAGTCAATACAGAGAGGCTAGTATCATCAGTGAGTGATTCACGTCACTTTTCTTACATATCAACTTGAAATGTGAAATAAAGGATGTTTCTCTCTTTCCACAGGCTGCAAAGGGAGCCTTGTGAAGAGCAATTTTCAGGCAAAAGAAACTCCAGCCTGAGAGATTCTGCTAAGTTTAACCTTGAAGTTTATGGGATCGGGATCTGGAGTCCCAGGCTGGTGCTTTTAAATCACTGAGCCATCTGCAACAGGCCTGTAATCTACATCAAGAAGGGCATCAAAGCTCTGAGGCTAAGAAAAAGATTACAGTCTCTTCTTATGATTCCTGTTTGCTTTCTCCCAATGGATTGGAGGAGAACTATATCTCTGCTTGAAGGGAGTACACTCATCCCCCTCAGATGGGAAAGCAACATGGGACATGACTGGAGAATGGCTGAAGAATTACCAAATTTTTTGGGGGAAATACCTAGTGCAAAAAAGAGATATGAAGATGCCGAAATCAGCTACACTGCCACAGTGGTGAATCTTGGGGCTTTACAAAAGAGAGGCCTGAGGGGCTTCAACAACTAAAGAAGATCCTGATGGGCACAGTGATCGCTGCAGGGGCATTACCCTGGAAAAACACCATTTCTTTGCAGAGAGCATCTATCAGTTGACAGGCTTGTGCTCAGTGGTAGAGGCTCCATGAATAATAGACAAATCATTTGAACAATTATCTAATTAGGGCTAATGAGAGCCTGAATCACTTACAGCACACCTAGGGCTGATGGGGAATTCCTTGAGAAAAGGGTCTTTTGTCAGCAAACACTGATTCATCAGTGTTGTAATGAGCTGTCCTCCTCATTAAGAACATTTATCAGTCTGCATGGTAATGCCTGGTGGTTAGGGCTTATCTCTAGTCCTACCTGTGCTGCTCACTCCCAAGCAGACAGCTGTTATTGCACGCTTTTGAGGTGCTGGGTACTGATAGAACAAAGCTGTGTATTTTTAAGCCCCCAGGAGTAAGCACTGGGTTTCTCTTTGACTTGTGCTGCTAGAGAAAATGTTCACAGCTTAACACCCCATGCAGCCTGCAGGGATCTGGTGGCCTCGTGAAAAAGAATAACCCATAAGTGGGATGTGAACAGTGGGATGGTGTATGGGCAGGGTGATGGGAGATGCATAATATTCGAGGCAGCTCTTCTACAGGGCTGTTGTTTGTGTCTTTAGCCTAGGATAAGGCTAAGCTCTGAAGCTAAGCCTGGTCAGTTATTCCCTCCTGTATGAAAGCATAGAAGTGATCAGAAAAGGGTTGCCTTCTAGGGACGTGGCCTCACAAGGACTTTGAGAAGAAACAGTTTGTAAAAGCACATTGTTCTCATAAGAATCCATGAAGAAATAGAAAAGAAATACAGTGTACAGCTAGAGGGCAAAACTTTGGGATGGTGACACAATGCTTGGCTGAGTCGTAATGACTTTACCAAGCAAAGCTCTACCAGGAATCAACCTGTGACGTTGAAACCAACTAAAAGCAGGGCATTTCAGAACAGCCACTGAGGTTAAATGCAGCATAATTGCAGAAAATAGGTATGAAACCCTTAGACACAGACCTGAAAAGTAAATTAAAAAAAAAAAAAAAAAAAAAAATCCACCTAAAAGGAAAGAAATGCTCAAATAAACTTGTTTCCTGTCACGGGCATTAAGTGAAGCCACATTCCAGAGCTCTGTCATATCTGTATGAACACAACCACCACACAACAGTTAGCAACCAGGACAGTTTAACTTATGGGGCTAAATATGACTCTTGCATCCTTATTTAAATACTTGGCTTTTACAGTGTGGTCTTGGAGTGTATCTGTGTCTTTCTTTCCCAGTCTGTGTAGTATGTAATTCAATGCTTGTTTGCTTTAAGGCAACATTTTTGTACTTCTTTTCTCTCTGTTACATCAGTTTTCCCAGTCCACTAAATGGATGCACATAGTTTATTTAATGGATTGTTCTGGTGTCTTGGGTAGAAGTTGTGCTGATACCACTTGTATGCAGAGTGTACATAGATATATACATTTGTGTACGTAACTGTGGAGAAGGAGGGTTT